GATAAGCCACCACAAGGACGTGGTAGTAAGGCGCATTGTGAGGCCACCGTTCTGGTTTGTTTTTCGGCTACAAAGCACTCATTCTTTCATTTGAGTCGACTATTATCAAAGCCGGCAATGTGACTTTTGGACAATTATTGGTAAATCAGAAAAACGAATTATTGACTTTGTATTCCATTGGCAGTCACAAAACTCTTCTGATCGACATCTTAGATAAATAACAGGTTAAGTATTAACCTTTATTTAATTCAGGTTTTGAACCGTATTCTTTGAAGGAGACGATTATATTCAAATCAATCTGTATTGACATATCAATAACATTTTTTTGTCCAAATGCACAGATTGCCACCTTTGATAATAGACGACTCATTTACTGGTGGTAGGATATCTTGAGTCCGCACGGGTATGTATCACCACCCTGCCTTTTTCTACCGTGAAGCAGTAATGCGTTTCGGTTTGAAGGGTAGAGCAGCCGTTACACTTTTAAAACTGAGACTTAAACTTATGTCGCGAGGTAGGTGGCGGCATTTACGTCATAGATGTCTTTGGGCTCTGGTAACCACTTAACACCAAAAAGGCCGTGAGCTCTTCCACCCACCTAGGCAATAAACAAAAAACATCTGAATTTTAGGGCAGGATGCTTTAGGCAACTAACATTGACACCCTATGTCGTTATGTAGACAAAAGCATGGACTCTCTATCTGTATGAGCGTCTTTATCCAGTCAATACGTATTGTATTTTGTCCAAATTAAGCTAATATTTAAATAAATCTTGATTCTAGATATCAACCACATTCGAGCCACAACAGCGCGTACAGTGCTTACTACGCTCATAGGTAGCTCGCTGCAGGAACGTGTCTGTGATGTAAAGACAACATCCGGGTCCACAGCTCGCGGCGACGAACTACGTGTCTTCCGAAAGGGCCGGCTTGCAAACGCATGGCACTGTCCGTAGACCCTCAACGTTGTCCGGTACGTAACTCATCGCCGCGAGCTGTAGTTGGATGTATAGTTTGTAATGATGAACGCAACGAAGATCTTGTTCAGTAGGACTTAGATAATGAAAGGATCGATGCAAGTAATGGTGGCGGATGTTTAACACAATTTTAACACAAATGTCTTCACGACATTAGTTCAAACAGGATCAGACCTGATAATATTTGCGATTTCCATATCGTTCCAAGGAGTGCAGTATCCGTGCTGTAGTCTATGGACTCCTTCCATCATAACCGTAGTATGTTTGGAAGTTAAATGAATAAAACTTCAAATCAAACTTTCGTGTATTCACCCTCAGCATTTTCAGTATTTGTACCGATTTTAGCTCAAATTCAAAGCGCTTCAGAACGATTGTTCCCAAAGTCTTCGAATGTTTAACTCAACAGAAAATTAGCTTAAAATCGATAACAAAATTGCAAACGAGCCTAAGTGAATCGAGTATGAATGTCATATGTTTGACCATTTCTTGCATCAATTATTGTACGTAGTTAAGGCACTGGATGTCGTTATAATGGTAATGTCGAAACAAAATAACGAATAGTAAGTATATTAAGATATATCGTTGAGTAATATATATATATTTACATAATATAATGAAAAACCAGTTTCACAAGATCTGTGTAATATAGTGATTATAATTTTAAATAAACAACTACTGAAATTTTTATAAGAGATTTTATAACAAATCTGTCACAGGAGAATAATGAAATCTATAGTTTTGTATTAGGTAGAATGTATTTTGAAATGGTTGTTACCATTAAAATAAATATTACCAAATGATATAACCAAAGGATAATTTAGTTATATGTAAACTTTAGATAATAGTTACGTTTGGATATTTATTAAAGAAAAAATTCATTAAGTAAACGAAATAGCACTTTTATTTACATAGATATAATATATTTCCTATATTCATCATGTTTTTCCAAAAAATATAAGTTATATTGTTATGAAGTGTTTTGCAGTGAATTTTATTAGTGAATATGAAAATATAAATAAATGAATGTTTTTATAAAACCGAAAGAAATGTTCTAAGTTTCTTTTTAAGGAATATATCGTGAGTGATTCGGTAAAACTCAAATTTTCATAGACAGCAATTTCAACATTTTAACTTAATCATACATTTTATGTTAGAGTTATATGTACAAGTCCTTATTCTAAAAAACAAACAGTTANGAATTTTATTAGTGAATATGAAAATATAAATAAATGAATGTTTTTATAAAACCGAAAGAAATGTTCTAAGTTTCTTTTTAAGGAATATATCGTGAGTGATTCGGTAAAACTCAAATTTTCATAGACAGCAATTTCAACATTTTAACTTAATCATACATTTTATGTTAGAGTTATATGTACAAGTCCTTATTCTAAAAAACAAACAGTTAGATTAAATAAAAATAGTACTGCATCTGTTGTGGTAGTCTTTCGATTTGTGGCGTTTTGTAGTGTGATTTTTCTGATACAGAATACGTCATAATGTGATTGACTGTAGCCGCTCCGGGTTCGTCGCCTTTCTCAACAATTACTTTGTTAGAAACTGATTCCTCATACACTTCGCCTACCAATTCTGGCTCTGGATCAGAAAATGGCTCCATTGAACATTCTCGTAGCATCGAAATCGCCTCGTAAAATGGTGGCTTCTGACTAACTGGTGCTTTAGAGTGTTCACGTTCACTAAGCGGCGATCGAATCTGTGTTTCGTACGGATAGTTGTTGGGAGTCGTCGGACTAGAGATCTGTGGCACAAATTCGTAAGGCGGCTGGGTATAGTCATCATCATCATCATCGGGATAGTAAAGCGCGTAAACATAGTAAGTGCTATTGTCAATTGGCATTTCTATTTCGTCTTCGTCTTCCTGATCCAAACTTATGTTATGACATGTTTTATTTTTGCTCAGATCACAAACTTCACTCAGCATAGATGCAAGATCATTTGTGTACTTATTAGTGGCTACCGCTAAATCAGTCAGGATTTCTGGGTCAGGATTAAATTCGATTCCAAATTTATCGGCGATTTGTTGTGCGGTCATCATTTTGTCAATAGCTATGTTTTGAAATTCGTTAGTGGCCTTTATGTGTTTCAGAAGCCTCATAATCAACTGACTGCTATCGACTGGTGTTTCTGTAGATCGTTTTTTTCTGAGATTGTTGTCTTCATGCTCTTTTTCGTACGTGTTTAAAGCGTAGGTAAGTAGATTAGCCATTTCGCTTTGAATTGCTTGTGTTATTTTATTTGCTGCTATTTTAATGTCTTCGAGCTGTTCTTCGATTGGTTTATCGGATTGTGTAGCTTGGTTCATCATTGCTACTGAAGACGTAGGATATAAATCAGAGTTTGGTCCCAAGAAAAAATCCATCCAATCTTGTTTTCCTTCATCTTTGGTTACCTCATCATCGAATTCTGTTTGGTTTTCATGAATATTAGAGCTTTCTATATTTTCTGTAATTGGAAGTTCTTCAATTGATACTGTTGTTTCTTCGTCGGCAAATATAATTGAACTCTGTAATGGGATATAGTTAATTAAATATTTTGAAAAATCGATAACAGTAAAATCACTAGGTGAATACAGTTTTATTAACAGCTCACAAAAAAGTACTAAAAAAATAAGTACAAAGAGATAAAATTAACTTACTTGGACAATTAGCCCGAAGATTAAGTATATAGGTGCCATGATGCATGTAAAATGAAACCCGCACACGTTGTACGGTTTTATATTAGTTTTTATCGAAAATTAAGAAACGATTTACTAAATTACTTTAGTAATTCCATATTTAAGATAAGGCACGTTAGAATACATTAGGAAATATGCGAGCATTTTAAATATTTGTGCTTTAAAAGAGAACGAACAGGAAAACCTGTTGATAATAGTTGACTCTGTAACGTTACGGGATTATTTTTCAAAATTTTAAATTTCAAAATTGAGTAAACGAAACTAAACGAAAAAGAAATAATCAAATTTTTTATATTGTGGAATTTTAATGTTGGTAGTAAAGCTATATTATTTATAATTTACTAATATATCAGGTGCGTTTGGAAGTTTCCAAGATATACTAATTGCCAATCTTTAAGTATGACTGTAAAGTTTTCATTTAGGCCCTTAATTTGAATTGAGGGCTCTTATGGTTCCGACTAGACATTTGTTTCTTATTTAAAATCCTGCACTATTGTTTTTCGTATTACTTGTCATGAAACAATATGATTTTTTGTGTTTTTACATGTCTGTGTGAATATCTGTTTCCTAAGGACTGGTCATCTCAGTATTGCGTTCACATATTACATTGGTTATTTGCATTCGTTGGAGATGGCGTTACGCTGAATATAAAATGGGTCTTGGGGTCATAGATATAACAGTGACTTTTACCCTGACTTTGTTTTTTTTTGTTATTGTTTGCATTGCATGTATCAATTGTCGAAACTTTAAGCAGTTGATAATGAAATTCAGGAAATTTTCCTTGCATCGTACTATTAAATAATTCATTAAACAGATAATTGGGGACAAGTCTTACACTGTCATCTGGCCCTAAACTAGGATTCCCTGTGCGACGGAAACCAGATACTGATATAAATACTTAAAAGCGTTTGCATAGATACGCATATAGAGAATAAATATGCAGTTAAAGAACCAAAAAACATGTTCATCACATGAATGATTGCCCAATGTGAGAATCGAAGGCAGGACCCCTAACGGGCGATAACTATTACACCATTGAGTTGGTCAAATAATGTTAGTCAAGATAGATATCAAATGTATGTCTTCTATACAATATTTCGTGACTTTCACAGAGAAACGTAATCAAGATTTACTAGTATACAATAAATTATTAATTACGGGATGAAAAACGTTTACTATAAAATTAAATGTAGGTATAAATCTGAAATAATAATCGAAGTAGGAAGATTTACTTTTTGATACTACATAGGTTAAATTTGCGCCTAAATTTGTTGGGAAATTCAGTAATTAAGGCAGAAAAAGAAGTAAATTATTTTCCAAACTTTACTATAAATGTGATTTACATAAAAATAAATTATTTAAATCTACAATAATTAAGATTAATAAATTAAGGATAAGATGTTGATGGGGTTAGGTCATGAGGTTTCGGATAAGGATTTGGAGGATAAGGAGTAAAATTAGCTGGATACGAAGGTGGGATAGGATGATAATGTGGTGGGTAAGATGGGATATTGGAGTATGGACCAAGGTAAGGAGGTGGAGGTGATGGTAGGGGTGTTGGTGGTGGATTCGGACGATGCTGCGGTTGCGAATAATCCGGATACGGATAAAAATCATTAGGCTTTGGTACTGGAGGGTATGGATAAGGTGGAGGATAAGGGTAAGGAGGGTAAACGGGGTGATAGCCTAAGTCATAGCCGTATGGTACTGGAAACACCGATCTTGGATATGCATTGGAGACTCCAGGAAATCCGTAATCAACTGGTTGCATTCCGGGATCTAAATACAATGGAGTTGAAGGTGGGAATACTGGAGCTGGTGGTGTGAAAAAAACTAGCTGTGGGGAGCCCGCTGGGTAAGAGTATGTGGGTGACTCATTCGTAGATGTAGACGGGGAGTCTGTTGATACTGATGACGTAGTTGACAGCTGCGATTTCGAAGCTGCTGTAATAGAATGAAAATGGAATTACTTTTGCTTAAATAAAGAAAATACAAAATCTCTGTGTACAACGAGTGAGTTGTTTAGTTTGAAAATTTTAAGGCCAGTCAAAGCCTTAAGCGTACGTTAAATAATAAGGCAATATTTGCAACTATATATAGGTTAGATCATAAATCTAGTAGTAGTAGTAGATTCAAGTCGTTTCTCTCAAATATTATCTTGGACTTGTTGAATTTGAAAACATGCTATCATCACTCAATCGATCCAAAAATAGTTCAGAATAGAACCATCATGAGAAAATCAGCATACTACAACACTACTTTTAATTTTATTCATTTTTGGTAATGTTATTTTAGTTATAATATTAAGTTAGATTTATAATGTTTTTTTTGTATAAGCGCAGTATACTAAGCAATTTTTATTGATTTTTTTGTCGTAGGTGAAATTAAAACAACTTTTACAGTTTCATTTCGCGTTTTTATCGCCATTGTCGTTGACCATTAAAACGGAAATTCGAAACATCGTAAACAATATAATTACTTTAAAAAAGGTGATATTAAACCGTAAAAGGCGCTTTTTGTCATTATTCGTTCATTACAACATATTTTTCCGATCAAACATTCCTTGATAGTGTTTTAAATCTATCTGCAACAATTTTGTTTGTTAACCTAACGGTTCAAAAATTGATTAGAATAGTATGACATCGGAGGATGCTTGTCAGAAGCGGAGGCATGCTCTGGTTTGGTTGATTAATGATTACAATTGGAAGTAGTTGTATATTACATATATACGTATACTTCAAAAGCTTTTAATGTTTCCAGAGGTAAACGAATGTTATATTTTTGTGCATCAGAGTGGGAAAGATATAGGGCAACACAGAGTGAGATACAAATATCCATAGACAGGAGACAGCACCATAAACCTACTGAATATATGGAGTACTAAACAAATAAGCGTTGATATTTTGGAATGGCTTTGAAATGCTTAGTGGTCATGCCATTTAGTTAGGGCGGATGAGAAACTTAAGGGCTCAGTCGGAAGGGAATGATTCGATAACAACTGTCCAAGCGCTCCCAGAAGAGGTCTATCAGCCCAAGGGTAGCTGCAGTCCGAATGCATTTACGACCAGATTGGGATTCCATTGAGGAAATCCGTAGAGAAACCCATGATGCTATGAGTTAAGTTAAGATTTAGGTTTTCTTCAGCGAGTTCGACAAATACGGAGACACGTACATTAGTTGCTACTACCAATAGCGTTCAATAATTATATCACTGAAGACACGCGTAGGTAGGAGATATGTAAGAAGTTTACGTTAAATTAGTAGAAGTAAAGTCACATAGGTCTTCTGTTTAGACGTTAACTCTATTGCGCAACGAATCTATAAAAGTATCGCTTCAGAAAGACCTTAGTCTTAAATAACATACCTTGACTTTCTCATTAAAATTTGGTTCTATAACTTTAAGTCTTATTATATAATCTATCAGCGACGTCGACATCTTACTGCAATTATATAACAAGTCTACTTCTAAGTTTCAAATGAAACTAGATATAAAGTTATTAGACTTACGACTGTACAGGGAACTGATCATTTGGTTCATCCGCTCGGTCAGGGATGGCAGCTGGAAATAGAATTAATTATATAAATACATATTTATTAATTATTGATCAACACAATTAGTTGTATTAATGATGGTATTTTCGCTAAGACCAACCTCTTCCAAATAAACACCAACTGAACAAGAATCATCTAAGAATATATAGTAAGTACAGTGTACTTACCGTTTAAAAAATGTATTTTGGGATTTTACCCATTATACTTGCCGACGAGGTCATGGTTCATCTGATGTTACCGGAGGGTAAAGGGTTTATCGGAGTCCATATACATCACAACGTTCACGCGGCAATCCACCGTCAGATATGAGGTCTTAATAGTTAGGTCTTAATTGTATAGTATAGACGTATATAGTGTAGTATAGACACTTTCCATCCTTCAGACTAACATACTTAACTACAAAGTGCATAAGTGCTATCTGCCAAATTAGATGCCACCAGATCGGTAGCTGTATAAATACTATACTGTCTATGGATTCCGGCAACCATTTAACATCAAATAGACTTTGCTCATATTTCATTTCAATAACCAAGCAGGTGAGAGTTAATTACGCAAAAAAATTAGTTATTAAACAAATTTCTAACTTTAAAAGCTACTGTCTCAAGCGAATCCTAGAGGACTCATTGCTTGGAAAGATGCAGACAATCTTCAAAGACTGGTGGTTACTGGTAAAGTATAAGGTACGACAGCAGAGCCGTAGCCCATTTCGTTGCTCTGATCAGATCTGCATCGGACTGATTCCTCCATCAACAAATAGCCGAATACAGGATGAGATGGCACAACATTGTGAGGAAACCGATAGAGGAGGTCACGACCCCTGAATTGAGGAGCATTATTCCTCCAGAATATGGAAGCTTAAATACTTTACTTTGATTATTACCTGTGTTTGCTGTAATTCTTGGAGAGTGGCGTTTGTAACATGACAGCAATCGAATAGCAGAGTGCTCAATATGATTAACAATTTCAACATTTTAACACAAACACTCAGGGGATGTGTCCTACAATATGCAATTCATTGCAACGATCGATCATATTTATGTTGAAATGATTATGCAGACGCTGTGATAAGTGTTGTTCCGATCGTCGAGATATCATCAGATAAGATTTTAAAGATAAAGTACCGAGCGTGAGGATAAGGTTTGTGATAGTAAGGAAACTATATTATATTATAGAAATTGTGTAATTATTTCTGGACGTTATGATATAATCTAATAAATAGGGAAAGAAGGAAACTATCTCATAATTTGAAGTCGTCGTGGCCTAAAGGATAAGACGCCCAGTGCATACATATGCAGCGGTGTTGGAATCCCACAGGCAGATACCAATCTAAACAAATATGTACTGTCTTGTGAGTTCGCATGGGTAGGTAATACCACCCTGCCTATTTCTGCCGTGAAGCAGTAATGCGTTTCCTTTTGAAGGGTAGAGGAGCCGTTGTATTGTTAGAACTGACCTTAGGAAGCTTGTCTGAACGTAAGTGGAGGCATTTACGTTGTAGATGTATATGGGCTCCGGTAACTACTTAAGACCAGGTGGGCTGTGAGCTCGTCCACCCATCTAAGCAATAAAAAGATATATATTTCATAATAATTATTTCATTAATCCGCATGCGAAACAAATTTCTGGAAGCTTCTCGATAAGCAGAGTGTTTTGTTCTCTTTTAACTACCTAATATATATTATTAGATAGATAATACTTTATATACTGCCTAAAATACGACAATCTACTTTATATACGTATAAAAACCATTGAGTTGTCCATAATAACAAAAAAAAAATACAGATGATAAAAAAAACAAAAAGAACCTCGACTCAGATTTAATTATATTTTTGACATCAAAATGTACCTTTGTACATAAATCCAAAACGAACGTACGTGATACAATTCGATTTTTCTTACATCCGTGTTTCTTTGTTCGAACGATAAATTATTTTAATGTATATAACTAAAGTTTCATTTAAATACACACAATAACATTGTTATGTAAGCACAATGAAAACTTCGATGATGAAAAGCCGATTATAATTCGACACGCACTTGTAAGAAATTATGATTCAATTGAAATTTTAATTTTAGTTGTGGGCTTGTCAGATCTACATCTGTGTGCTTAGTGCGAGATTTTTAACGTTCTCGATAGCGTAAAAGTTTACTCAAATCTGTATGGAGTCGGAACGTTTCCCTACGTTTGCCGCTAGGGGCGCTGTTCCAACTGCATACAAATTTAAGTTAACTTTTACGCTATCGAGAACGTTAAAAAACTCACACTAAGAACACTGTTAACAAACTCGTGACCTACGACGTAACAAAACGTTATCATTCTTATTGTCCTGACCAGGATCGCTAGAACAAAAATAACAATGTGTTTTCAATATTTAATTATATAGTTTATGCATATATATTATCATTGTAGACTGTTTCAGCATTGGTGTGCTTTTATAGACAATATATTCAATATTAATTGCATTATGATAACAAGTTTAGTAGGCCTTGAGATTCTACATAATTAATTTCTTATTAATAATAAAACTAATGCAACTAATTATAAACCGTGAGATAATGTGTTTTAGATACACAGTTAATTGTACAGCAGAATTGTTCTTCCTCACTTCCGTATTGACATATTAAAGTTATGTTTATGTAGCGAAAACGTATTTAATTAATTTTAAACGATAATAATTTGCATTTAGCTGTGTAGATTCTCATAGTAGGAGTACAAACTTATTTCATTAAGAGAAATTAAAACAGATGGAGAAAGATTGTGAGTGAAGAAGTGATCCCAAGCGGTGGTCACGAACTTTAGTATTTTTTTTTCTTACACGTGTGGACGAGCTCACAGCCCACCTGGTGTTAAGTGGTTACTGGAGCCCATAGACATCTACAACGTAAATGCGCCACACACCTTGAGATATAAGTTCTAAGGTCTCAGTATAGTTACAACGGCTGCCCCACCCTTCAAACCGAAACGCATTACTGCTTCACGGCAGAAATAGGCGAGGCGGTGGTACCTACCCGTGCGGACTCAGAAGAGGTCCTACCACCAGTATGAGTATTGAGGAATACGAGACAAGACGGAGGAGGAATAGTGGAGAAAGCGGATATACTAGTTCAGCAGAATACTAATTCACAAATACAACCACGGCAACACATCAGAAACAATATTATCCAAAACGTGTTTTCTATTTGGCCCATTTAGCGTACAATATTTCTAAGCCCAGCAGTAACAATGACAATATCGCTCCGGACATTGTCAGGCACAGGAGTGGAGCAACGTCACCGAATTTCACTCTTTCGGCAAGTAGGGATGTTCTGCAGGCTGGTCGGCGGACTCTGAGCTTGGAGACCAAACGTTTTGATAATCCCGTCTCGTGGAGCCAACGTGATGAACAGCGTAACGCGTGAGTCCATTGTCCTCTTTTTATTGTTGTCACCCATGACATTGACTACAACGTAATAGCGTTTTAGCATTATAAGATTGCAAACTTTTGGCATTAGGTACTCACTCGGCTATCATCTATATATTAATACGTGTAGCAAAAAACTTTGTACCTCTTTTTATGAAATTTCCCACACTTATAGAAAACATAGAGAAGAAGTGTATGATGCTAATATTTTTTAAAGATTATGCATTGAAAATACATTAAATCAATAAAGAAAACATTACACCCACTACCATATTATATTTGATACCACACATACATATAAATATACTCTTTGTGTATTGTCAATTGTGAAACTTTTGTTATTGTTTAAAGTCTGTGGTTAAATTGAGAATAGATTAATATTGTTTGTCTTTAATATTATTTATTTGTAGTGTAGTTTTGGCGAAATCTGTATTATTATAGAAATATAATAATGCTTGACAATAGAACTTTTAATTTCAATTAATTATAGTTGAATTTCGACTACTGCGAGGGCCACTAGTCTTAATTAACCCACAGTTTTTTCCGAGTCTGTTCGCAATATTTCGAGATCCGTGGGTCGTATTTTGGCGACTCATTTCACTTTAGAGCAATAAAATAGACGTAATTAGACAAATATCCTCACGCATATTATAATTATATGTATTATTGTTAGCCAAAAATCTAAAACGTTTCCTTAAGGAAAATCATAAGCAACCATTGTATTCGTTTGTTTATTATTTTGGATGGTAAGAGCAACTTGCCTCGTTATAAGGAACCCATAGGATTGGAAACGTGAATGCTGTTATCCATTGCAGTGTCTATGGTGGACGACCATTCGTCTCATCAATAGTTTAGTTATACCCGGATTAACGGTAGGCAGCGGCTTGGCTCTGCCCCTGGCATTGCTGAAGTCCATGGGCGACGGTAACCACTCACCATCAGGTGGGCCGTATGCACGTCTGCCTACAAGGGCAATAAAAAAAAATCTGGAGAGCGGAAACTTCAGAAAAGTCATATTTGCTATTATTACTTACTATGTATATGAAATGTTACAACGAAGATCTTCTACCGAGCGTGAGATATTTTTCTTTTTTTTATTTCTACGTATGAACTCACTATCTATAATATTAAGAGAATTAATACTTACTTCAGGGATAGTATCGACGTGTTGCAATTTACAAATATTGTCATCACTAAATCTTTTGAAATATGGATAAATCTGGTTATATTCAGCGTGAAAGGCAGTGTTTCCGTCTTCAATGAGTTTCACACCTTTTTCTATGTCTTGGTAGAATTTCGCCGTAATTTTCTTCTCTTTCAAGTACTCCAAGTCATCCCAATTAGTTTTAATCTATAAATATTATATAATTATGCATCCGTTTAAATACAAAAGGGGCTAAAACTTTTATTTTGATACCATTAAAACCTTCTTCATAATTCGTCCCCTATTGTAGCCTAATTAATTAACACAATAACAAACTGAATCCTTTATTATACATATATTTAATATGTTTTTAATTAGCGAAAACCATTGTATTTTAAATGTATTGTTTCCCGTCGCTTATTGTATCAAAGCATAAATCGATCATCAAAAACATAGCGCTATGAATTATCAAGACCGTGAATTTGGTTCCTATATCAGATGCAGTGACAGTATTGGGTGTTAAAACGTAGCGTTTATAGTGAAACTGAGAAATAAGTGCTATAACATCTGAGACATTATGTCACAACGCCGGTTATGAAACTGCACTGTACCAAATCTCTCTAAGTTTTAAATGAATTCATTCCACAAAGGAACAAAATCGTGTAGTAAAACTCAAAACCGGATAATTTAATAAATTAGACAATACTACATAATAACTAGTGGTCGGGCATATTAGGAGCACGCGCATATATTTACTACTTTATTGACGCGAAGTACCTAAGTGGTTCAGGAAAGATAGAGGACAAACGTCGCAGATGAGCCAGTCTCACGAGATGTTCGGACCAAATTCGATCTTGTATGGATATCACGCTCCATGATACTCTCCAAGAAGCTAAGGATCGCAGCAGACAGAGAACAATTGCACATGAGATAATGATGCAGCGGGAGAGTCACGTACATCCGTAATAAAGAAAACGACGCAAGGAGAAAGACTGGTTCAATATGGTTTAAATAGTTCAAAAGTACGATGTGTTTGCAAACTTACGTCAAACATTAAATAGCGCATATAATCATAATCTTCTGAAGCTATAGAATATCTGGAATCGGCCAGCGACCTCAATGAGTCTGGTCCACTTCTGCCGGTACTCATCAGAGCTGATACAATAGCTGATGTGTAATAAGCGTGGACTAACATAGACGATACGGAGAGGACTATGAAGGTCCAACGTCCTGAAACGCCTTCTGGAACAGCGCTGGCGTCTGTCGAACAGGTTAACCGTTCACAATCAAATTTAGACATGCTTAGCGTAAATTGAAAAATGCAGTCAAGCGTAGAATTTTTAGACGAACATTTTTATAGTATTGAAATTAGTACTATAATAAAATAAATAAAATAAATTATTTGATTATGTTAGGAAACAAAAAAAAATATATATATTTTGTTCGATTTTCGCGAATAATCTGAGACAAAATTAAAATTACTGTTACTATCGTACTACCAAATACTCGTCCGTGACTACAAAAACTATGGCGAATATTCCATTGGAAATAATCAAATGCCATTTTTTTCAATTGGTGTAATGAATTTCTTCTATCCTAATTTTTCTTTCCATATCCATAAAATAAAAATATCGCATGGTTACAATTAGAAGATCTCTTCTAAAGCCATACGATAACTGACCAACTGATAATTCAATGAGAAAACGCCATTCAGCTAATGTTCAAAAGAACTTAAAATACCTTGCTGAAGCCATGATGCGAGGACAGTGATGCACGCTCCGTCCTTCTCCAGTTGGCTTCTCGACGTGAGCCACTGCGCAGCTGTTAGGACTAGACCGATTGCCAGACACGACCACCAGACGACGGTAGCGAAT